CAGAAAGAAAACATTTCCATGCATGCTCTCATCCGGAAACTTCCCATCCTTTCCTTATAAGAAAAAGTGTAGGAAGGGACTAAATTAGGCCTCCGAGCGTAGTAGTAGGTATTTAGGTTCATAGCGTAGTAACTTTGTTATAGAATATAACACAATAGTAAAAGACATAGAATTAAGTATTCGAAACTGTAAAAACTCGATTAAGATACTACTAGTATTAAAGCCTATTATTACCTCTTTTAAAGAATGAGACAGGTGTAATTTTTTCAAGTATTTAATAGTAGAAACCCATTGTAACAAAGCTCAATTCTCGTAGGTAATTATTGTGGTAGTTCTACACGCGACGGATTCCACGAAACATTTTCAATGTCAAGAGCATTCGTGTTCGTGGGAACGAAAACAATACAGGAAAAACTTTATTCAGTACTGCGCAGTATGGAAATGTATGAAGATATTTTTTATATAATACATCGCAGTAAACGATTGGCAATATCGCTAATATAGGTAAATATTTTAGGAGTTCGTAGTGTTGCCATTTTGTTTTATGATTAAAAATTATTGATTATTGACGTGGTCAGGCTTGAATCAATTAATATTCAAGAAACACGTGAACATCAAGATCGCTTTTCAAAATATTAAGCAATAAACAGTAATGATTTATTAAATTTTGTACGCAAAATATAATCTCTAAAGCTATAATGTATCTCTTTTTATAAACTTCGATATTATATAGCATATTTAAGTTACATTTCCAGTAATTTAAACATGCATTTTTAAAAAGTTTGCTTATTTTATTATAAAAAAACTTAGTCATAGCAATTATCCAGGGCTGCAGAAAACTGCAAAAACTTAGATTGGAAATTATAATTGCCTTGTTTGTTAGTTTGCGAAGTTATATCACGCTGGATGTTAGCTTAAGCTTCTAATAGCGTCGACAGCTCAATGGTTATAGCAGGCGATGATACACAAAATTATACGACCCAAAAATTAACAAATTTTTTATGGTATATCAGATTTTTCTTTTGTTTTGAAAAATCATAACTTAAAGCAAACACAAACGAGAAAAGACAAAAACTAAAATAGAATTGATTTGAATCCCATTGTGTAATATTTACTTAATAAATGCGACCTCAATGGTCTTGATGCTTAATAAGAAAACTAAATATTTTCTTAAGGCATACTTACCTACTTATATAGCTAGCTGTCACCCGCGACTCCGGGATTAAAAAAAAGTATTGATCGCAGCGTAATGTTTTATAGTCAAAAGCCTTTCTCTATAAATGGACTTTCCAACAAAAAAATATTTTTTCAAACCGGACCAGTACTTTCTGAGATTAGCGCGTTTAAACAAACAAACAAACTCTTCCGCTTTTTAATATTAGTATAGATTTTAATGTTACCCTAGTTACTTAGGTCGACATTTGAATATAAACATTTTCTTGGTAAATAAAGCCTTTTGCTCTAAGAGGCACTTACTCGAATAATACTTGGGCAATTTACTTTTAGTACCGAAATGGTAAAGATAAAACTTCTGGGAGACGTCAGCACTTTATAATTTTTAGTTATTGTGTCAGCGAAATTAAACAACTTTATTTAAGTTAAGAGCTTTTTGAGTTTCTAAATAATTAACTTATTCATTGTCTCCAAAACTAATTTATAAATAGAAACGATGAGCCTTTTTATGCTACAAATAATATCAGCATATCCCCGATTCGATAGTTAAGTTAACAAAAATAACTTAACTAAAATCCGTATCATTCTGATTCTAATGAATGTTTCAATTTGCATTAAATCCATAATCTTAACAAGTCATTTGATCCTTTTCGTAAATTCCTGCAAAGTTCTAAGCGAGAAAATTTTAAGTCTCTCTTAACCGTTCACAAGATAAGAACATAATCGAATTAAATTAAAACCGACATCGTTTTCTGTTCTTAAAGTAAATGTAAATTAACCTTAAATTTAAATCTTAATGGCATCAATAAAAGAAATCGTACTTAAAGAAAAATACTACGAAATAAACAAATTTATAACCTGATCACACTCATTGCCATCTAAGGCTTTATACAGGGTGTACAAAATAGCCTGCGTGATGTAGCAATAATTTGTACAAAAATCTGTCGACATAAATATACCAGCATTTACATACAAAGTATATACCAGTGAGGATAAAAGTATATGAATGAATACTCGTAATGTTTGCAGATCTAAAGCCCTAGATACGTTGTATCGTAATAAATCACACGGAACTCCGTTAGGGCGGAACAAAAAT